AAAGTTTGAAAACACCTATCGTTTTCATTTTTGTGCAAAAAATGCTGTCGAACATACATAACAAACTTTTTAGTATTTCCTAAAAAAATTCAGAAGCTATTTTCGAAAACAGTTCATCAGACAAGTTTTCTATGTTTTTCGGGAAAAAAAAAAGAAGAAACCCTAAATCCAATATCCAAAACCAGCCTACTTCATTCATCTTTTCCTTTTCCTTTTCGTTTCCTTTCCACAAATCCAAGATCCAAACATAGCAAATCTCATCCTTGGGGGAAAGTTTCGGTACACAAATCCAATCAACTCTCAAAATAAGTTTCAAGGTCTACGCTAAAGTATCCTCTACATAACTAACATTCAGAAATGGCACTGCAAATCTAGGTTTTGACCATCTCAAAACCAAGAAGATGGAGAAAAAGAAAACCAGTAAATTTCACACGTTATTGACAATTTCTGGGAAATCAAATAAAGCATTACATTGAAATTGTAAATACACAAACACGAAGTACCAAATAAATCATTATAACTTCCAAAACAAATGAATGTAACTATCCCAAGGACGTGAAAATCGGTCACAGTTTCTGTACACAAACTACAACTGTGAACAAGAAATGAAGGACAATAATTTCTTTATGATTGTTGAATAGAATAAAGCTCCGATCAGAGCAGAAACCTTTCAATATGTGCCAAATAATGATCTTCACAAAGGAAGTGAGACAAAGCAGAAGATTTACATATCTGTACATCATTTTGTTACTGTCAAACACTTTTGCTCCTTCTGGCTTCAAGAGCTGAACCATCCTTAAGGGCTAGTTGTGCTTCATTTTCCATTTTAAGGGCGAAAAGTGCAGAGGCTTGTAGATAAGACGGTACGTGCCAGGCTGGAGATATGATTTGGGCTTGCATTGCATCCTTTAAAGCTTCCTGTGGTGAGTCGCTCATGAGATAAGACAAACTACGGCGGGCAAAAACTGTTGGTGACCCTACTATTCCTGCTTAAATAAACTGCAAGTAGGAAAATAAAACCGTTATTAGGATTCTAGCATTCACTCAGATTTTCAAGAATGTAACCATTAGATTATCACAGTTTTCCCATAAACTGCCACTATCTCTGAATTACCTGAGACATGGATTGTTTCGGTACATGGAACATGATCACGAATGTGGTATGTCACATTTTCTAAAAGGTACGAATGTGGTATGTCACATTTCCCATAAACTGCAATGTTGAAAGATGGCAGTGAGCAAAAGCACAATGCATAGGCTGTAATTTTATCTGGGTCAAAAAGAACGATAAAATTGTCTCTGGTATGACAAAGCATAACATGCTCTCAAGCGGTTGACATCCTTCATGGCAACAAAAGAAAAAGAAAAAGGTGGGAGGGCTTTAGATATCAGCCAATTAGTATCAGGATTTTAGAGTTCCGATACCGATATTCACTTATATATCAGTCGATATTGACCGATATATCATGCTCAGGCAAGGGAAAATCGAAGCTGAAGCTTACAAAGCAATTATATTGCACTATGTATAAGCCCTAAACATTCTAATGAGACAATTATGTGAGATTAAGATGTTGACTTCAGAATACATGACGAGAAAAATCTAATGACTTTGGATTTGGCCTTTCTTGGGGTTCATATTGCAAGCATCGAGAAGCCAAGCGTACTAACTCAGTCCTGGCATCATCGGAAAATTTTCCTTCCAAGAGAGAATCTGTCAGCATCTCAAGGTTCCTGTCCCGTATCAAATCAAGGGCCTGGTAGAATTACCACAGCATTAGGCACGTAATGTCAAATACATATCCTAGAAAGATCATTAATCTAAGAAATGGAAAATATCTGCATAAAGATATTGGATCCTTGTAGGTTTGCCAATTTTGGATCCCTATATACATATTCAGAGAGAGAGAGAGCAAGCCAGCTTATTGTAATCTCAATCTTCATAGTGAATTCCATTCTTCACCAGTGGACGTAGGCTTATAGCCAAACCATGTAAAGCCTTGTGTGCTTGGGTGTTTGTTCTGTTTTAACTTTTTACTAATCTTTGCCTTTGCCATGACAATTTGCAACCATTTTATTTATTGCTCTATTATGAATTTAAAGACTTCCATTTGTTTTTCAGAATGATTGTTTTAAGATAAGGGTACTTCGAGAATTTCTGTTTTCCCAATGTCCATTCTATTGGAGTCATATGGGTCTTTAAGCCCTCACCAGCATTTCCATTTTACACTAGCTTCACGGTTTCAATACTTTCCAAAACCAACAGAAAGGACTCAGATTATTTCCAATTCCTGACCACTTTATTGAGGTAGATGTTTACATTAAAGTACACACTAATCGTGGTAATTTTTTTTTTAAAAAAAAAAAAATACATGGATAACTATGTATTAACATAGATATACAAATAGATGTGTCTATAACTACGTATACGAAATCCAGAACACAATAAAAAGATAAATATAAGCTTGGGGGGTGCTCTAGACTTGAACAACAGTATTGTCAAAAAATAATTTGCATAAAGCATAAAACATCAAATTTGGTTGTAAGATACATATACTTACATAGCTAGGGGGAATATGTTTCCCACTAAGAACATCGAGCAAAAGAGTGCCAAAGCTATATATTACACCTTCTAGCGTCACTATACCTATACAAAGAAGATGAGCATATGAAGCAAGAATAGTTACCTAAACATCATTTGGGCTATTTAAAACATCCAAGTAACAAAGGAGTGTGAAACATCAAATTTGTCATCAATAACATCAAGAGAATCTTGAACCAGAAATAATTAACCTCATACACCAAAAGAAGTATCTTATCTTGTTTGGTTGAGTTTTCAGAATCTGCTTTCAATTTAGTTTGATGAAAATAAGCACCCAAAAAAAAATTTCAAAAAATAAAATTTTTTTTGCCCAAAATATGAAAATGATTAGTGTTTTTTATTTTTTTCATTAAACTCAAAAAACATATTTTGAAAAATCAACCAAAATTTTGTTTGATTTTGTTATCGTTTTTTTGTTTTTTGTTTTCACTTTTTGAAAAACACAGAAGACTTGTTTGGCGAACTTTTTTTGATACAATTATCTAAAAACAATCTACCTTTTAGGAAACAACAAAAGTAGTTTATGACTTTCTGAAAATTAACAACAACAGAAACAATTTGAAAAAGATGGGTTGAACTTTTTATTGTTTTTAGCTTGCTTGTTTTTATTTTTCAGAGAACACTTTTCAGAAAATTCTACATTCTTATTTTCCGCGTTTTTTTGTTTTTACTGAATTTTTTAAATATTTTAAGCAATGTTTTTACTTTTTAGACACACCTAACATAAATACACCTAAAAAGTAAAAAAAATATAAAAAAAAAATCTTTTAAAAATTCACTAAATACCAAAAATACAAAAAAAAATACAAGAATTCAGTACATTTTTTGTATTTTTATGTATTTATTAATTTTTTAAAATATTTTTTCACAAATTTTTTACTTTTTAGATACATCTAACTAAGGTGCATCTAAAAAAGTAAAAAAAAATGTTTAAAATTTAAAAAATATTCACTAAAAACAAAAGAATACGAAAACCAAAAAACTCAGTTTTCAAAAAACCTAATCCAGAAAACTCAAACCAAACATTAGTGTTTTTAAAAAATTTTTTTTTTCATTAAACTCAAAAAACATATTTTGAAAACTCAACCAAAAGCTTGTTTGATTTTGTTATCGTTTTTTTGTTTTTTGTTTTCACTTTCCGAAAAACACTGAAAACTTATTTGGCGACCTGTTTTCGATACAATTTTTTAAAAACAATCCACCTTTAAGAAACAACAAAAGTTGTTTCTCAATTTTTGAAAACTATCAAAATCAGAAACAATTTGAAAATAATGGGTTGAACTTTTTATTGTTTTTGTTTCCAAAAACATGAAAAATGAAAACAGAAAATATAACAAAAACAAGATAAATATGCATTTGTGCTTAACTCTGAAAGCTAATTTCTTTTACCATTGTAGAAGAAAAGTAGAAGACAAATAACATTACACTTGATGCAAGCAAGTAAACAGGCATGTTCCCCCACAAAACAGAAGGAAGAACCAAAAATACGAGGTGAGATCAGAATGAAGTTCAATTAAAGAGACTTCTAATAGATCCTACATGATTTATAAATTTTTTGGGGGCATAAAAATTATCCTTTATCAAGAGAATACATACCGATTTTCAGAAACTCTGGAGGAGTAAATGCCAAATTTGTACTATAAATATTTCCATTCCCACTACTTTTCATCAGGCCAAAGCATGAAAGTCTAGGATTACAGTCCTGCAAAATTATAAAAAGATAAATAGAGGAACCCATATAAAATTCAACTGAATAGAGGTGTCCAAATTAAGGAAATATTTAATATATACCTCATCGAATAAAACTCTGTAAGGATTTAGGTCGTGATAAGCGGAACAGCCTTTGCTTGTACAATATTCTAGAGCTTGTGCAACAAGTAAAACCACCCTCAATCGCATTGTCCAATTCATAGGTTGTGTTTCCCCTAAACCAAAAGAATAATTGCATTATCCAAAATACCAAATTAGATTGGAACTTACCAAAGAATATAGAAATAATGGAAACATATAGCAAATAACTGACGCCAGTAAAAAACAACAATACTAATGGAACCTATAGTAGTGAGCTATAAAGTACGGACACTTCAAAATAGGTGTTGTAGCAATGTTAGACACATATGAGATGCAGACACAGTTGGGGCATGCATCTGACACGCCACATGGAGTGTCCATTTATTAATACTTTTTTCACTGGACACGCCTGGGACACACTTAAGAAGCATTTAGGCCATGTTAAGTTCAACTTTAGCTGGGGGGAAAAAAAAACCTTACAGTGAAACGAGTGTTTTGCAAGTGTATTGTTGGGCATATATTCAGCCACCAGCAGCATCTCATCATCTTCACAGCAACAACCAAGCAAGTTTGCCAACCTATGGTTACAGAGATGGCCAACCAACCTCGCTTCTTCCTGTAGTTGCCAAAGAAAATAATTATAGGCAAGAATGAAAAAAAAAGTTACATCCCAAACACTACATATGTGAAAGATGTAGATAAGTGACATAGTAATTGAAAACCTATTCAAGACATATGATATGAAGGAACATTGATTCGAACATGGATATGCAAGTCATCTTGGATCAATGCAAATTAAATGAAAAAGTGAAAAGAGCAGAACAAATTTTCGTAGTGCACAAAAATGTTCTGCACAAATTAGGAGATATGGAATGTAAATTTTATAATAAAAAGGAAACCCTGTTTTTAGTTCTACACAAAATGTAATAAAAGGTTCAAGAAAAATGTATTATGTCGTGCAGGATTTTTAAGGTAAAAATGGTTTAAGAAACAATACAATTTCATAATTTCCTTGAAGAGAGAGAAAAGAAACAACCAACTCTCACAAGACAAGTAGAAGAGGATAGATATGTAAGCCTAAATGAAAAACTCGGGGTGGTCCTATAGCGAAAGAGAAAAGAATGAATACAGTTGAACCTTCTTGTTTGCACCTAAAAACAATTTGATACCAATGGTTAGGGCTGCAAATGAACCGAGCTGCTCGCAAACTTGGCTTAGCTAGGTTTGTTACATATATAAACGAGCACGAGCAAGATTTTTAGGCTTGTTTAATAAATGAGCTTTGCTCAAGCTAGAATAAGCTCGGCCTGTTTATTATTTACTTAAACAATAAGATAAATATATTGTTTATATATTAAATAAAGTGTTGTACATGCATAATTGTAATATAGAATCATAACAAAAAACTACGCAAGAGAAATGTATGAATTCATGTGCTCATGAGAGAGATTCTTCAGAATGGCTTTACCAAGAATTGCTTCGCATTTGGCCAAACCGTTTTTTTAAAGCGTTTGACAGCGATCCTCTGCTGATTCTCCAGCTTCCCTTTACAAACAACATTTGGAGCCTTCTCCCCATTTTCTGACACAATATTCTCTACTGCAAAACAGGAAGTGGCTTTCTTTAGTTGCTCTAGTGTGAATTCACGGAATGCAGGCAAGTCGCTGACTTCCTCCTCTTCATTCTCTGCCAGCAAACATATCAACCAACCAACACATACATCCAATTAACATAAAAAAGAAATTTTCAAAAAAATAAAATAAAAAAGATAGGCAAGGTAACATACCAACAGCAGGTGCCTCAACAATCGATGTGCTATGTCGTGAGATCCAACAGCATGACAAGATTTTGGGGGACTGGGAAACTATGTGAAATATCAGTGATCAGAGCCTAAATAGTGAACACCTCCAAATGTGTGCTTCTCAAATGAAACCCGACATCAATTACAAATCCAACTCATTCAATTCAAACTAATCTAATTAATTGTACTTCACACACTGTCAATCAATTTCAACTTCTCCAAGCTTCTAAATGATAAAACCATAAGCAGAACGTCGATTCTGCCCTCAAACTCGCCAACTCCAAAGCAGGAATAAATTTTTACAGTTCTCTCTTAATTGAGGTGTAATGTGCATGCTTCAACAACTGCAAAATTTATTTGAGTATAGAAATTAGAAAAGCATATATAAGACACCTATGTCTATCAGAATATATCTTTCTGGGCACTCAAAAATTTTCTTTTACTTATTAAAACAAACATTTAGAACTCAACTTTATATACGCTATTAGCAGATTCAAATTCAATTTAAGTATTACATTAAAAAAATACCCATTAGACAATAACCTGCAATTTGTAATTATATGATATCATAACTCACACACACAATTCAAAAAACTTGCCTCACCGTTACTCACCTCCTCAATCATCCAAACAAGTCGTATTAGTTCTTTTCCTCTGCATTTTTCTTTTCTTTTCTCACCAAACTCCTCAATCCAAACAGTCTGTAAATGGAAAACATACCTTTTTAGAGACTCCCTTCTCTCCAAGTCAACTCAGTGAAGCTCAAAACCACAAAAACAGCTCAACCCACATTCCAAAACTAAACACCCACAAAACAACAGCTCCATTTATTTGCATTAAAATAGATTTCTTTGGAATGTAAAGACCTAATACAAGTCTGTACTCTCTTTAAAACCCTCTTCGATCAATTCAAAAACAATTTAAACGTCCCACTAAATCCACATTTTCTAGTCAAACATCACAACGCTACGCACGATGAGATCGAAGCTGTTGTCGAATTTTAAGGCCTCAATATTCCCATTTTTTGTGTTTTTTGAAAGCAACAAAAACAGAAAGCAAAGAAACGTGTTTTGATAAAACAATAAGAAGACAAAGACCCAATAACGACTACGGAAGAACTTCGAGAAGATTGAAATATTCAAGTAGTTACATCAAACCCAGATATCAATCTATGTGCATGAATATATATTATATGATATTTCAAATAATGGATTGAAGATTTTTTTGTCGGGGTGATCATTCTTTATGCTCTTTGGCTTTGATTAACGTTTGGTGGGTGGGTTGGTTTGAACTTGGAAGTCTGCCAAAGGGGAGCTTCTATTTACAAACACACATTCCCCTTTTTACCTATATTTTTTAATAAATAATTGGTTCAGAAGTAGATTTTTGAAAATGAGCAATTAGTTCGGAAGTAGCTTTTCAAAAATAAATAATTAGTTCGGAAGTAGACTTCTGAATTTTTATTATTTTTTCGACATTCAACTTAAATGTGTTTATTTGATGTCTATAATAGTAATTTCACTTGAAAAAAAAATTATAATAAAAATAATTTTTATGAAGTGTGTGCAAAGAGGGAAAGGTGGATGTGTAAATAGAAGCTCCCCTGCCAAAGCCACCTCAAAAAGGGCAAATTACAGTTTAATCCCTCAATTATTATTATTATTATTTTTTGAAAAATTATAAATAATTTTATTTAAAAAACAAATTGTTTCTTGTCATTGTAGAAAGTACATCTCACTTCTTCAAATCATATATATTATTCAAAATAGTATTTTTTCATGCTTAGATGACACATTATAAAGGCTTAACTTTTTTTAAAAAAAAAGTCACATCAGCATGTATTTTACTAATTACATATAAAATTCTACACAAACTCAAACATAATTTAAATCATACTAACTTTACCTATGTTATATGGATTCTATTTCACAAATATTTCTTTTATATATATTTTTCATGGTAAATTGAGATAATTCACAAACCCAATACCAATTTTGCATTTCATATTTTTCTTTTTAATTCTTTCAAAGTGTACGAGGAGCAATATTCTGCAGAGCCCGTACTCCTTTCTACCAGGCTCCTTGTCTGTCCTATCGACCTGCGAACACTACGGCGGTGTGCTATTCGGCGGTGTGTGGCCGAAAAACCCCTTCGACGGTCAAGTTAGCACACACTCAGGGATATAGAGAGAGGAGAGAGTTGAATGTTTAGTTTGTTCTTACCAAATGATGTTTTATCCTCAGCATGGGGGGCGCAGACACGCTTATATACTTTCTGCGCCCAAAACTGCTCCCACTAGTCTCTTGACACGTGGTGCTGCTCTCTCATCTGTTAGTACAAATCCTGCAATCACCACCTAACCAAACCATCAGGCTATATTAGCGGAGCCCGGCAGACCGGCGGAACCACCTTGGCCTTTCACGACCACGCTGCGCAGCGTACCTGAGTGCTCTACTCGCCGAGCTCCAGAACGACCGAGCTCGGTCGCATTCCGGCAAAGCCGAGTTAAAGATAGGTCGAGCCAGTAAATCGAAGGCCCTCCTGCCGCGCTAAACGAGTGAACCGTGGACTCCAGAATGGCAGGCAATCATCTCAGCCGAGCAACTCAAGTAGCTTGGTTTTCTACATAGACAAGCCCAAGTAGCTCGGAAGCTATCACGGCCCAAACATGTTCGGCCCCTCATTTTTCCCGGCCTTTACCATGGTCCATTCCAGCTCATAAATCTCCCTCTCAATTGCCCCTTAATTCCGTCTGCAAAAGCGTGACTGGGATTACATGATCCGGCCGGGGTAGATTCTTCATCGGTTCTTAACTTGCAAAGCCTCAACCGTGCTTTATCCCGAGCTCGGTTTATCAATTTGCTCGGCTGACGCCTCGACTCGCCTTCCTGTCTCTTCAATTTTGACGTCGCCGTCAATTGGGACACGCGTTCATCATTTATTGACCCTCGAGCAGCCAACCCAGCTGTCTCTTCAAGTTCAAATTTAGGCGGCCTTTTCAACCCTATAAACATGCCAACTCCCCTTTCATTTTCTTCTTACTAACTCTCCTCCATTCTAGACATCCCAGAGCTCCAATGTCCGACATCCATTCCTGTTCTTCTTCTTCGTGTGAGCTTGAAGAAGTAGCCTCTGCCTCTAAAGTGGTAAGTTATCCGAATTCTCTTTGTTGCTTTTGTTTGCATTTGGTATTTCACATTCCGGGCATAAAATCCTTAGGTTTTAGGATATACCCCCCCAAAAACCCTCTCTTGCCCCTGTTCTTTTCGCTGTTCTTCAATTCCAGTGATGAACACAAGAAGATCTGGAGCGGACCGGGCTCCAGGTCTTCCTTTGATCCCAAAAAGCATTTAAGCCGAGCAAATTGCAAGTTTGCAAAAATCCCTGTAAAAACTGAGGTAGACAGAGAACTTGACCGCTCGACCGAGCTAATATCTGGTCCGCTTGAGCGGTCGAGCTCCTAGGTTTACCTTTGTGACCGAGGTAGTCTGGCACTCTACCTGACCGAGCTAAAGTCAAGCTCGTTTTGCGCGACCGCGCTCCCGCTTACACTTACCTCATTTTCCTGCAGAGTCCAAGGGGACCACACACCAATACCAAGGCTCTCAAAGACCGAGCAACCATCAAACAAGAGTTTGTGCCAAATCACCTCAACCGCGCTAAGTCAAGCCGGCTACACATGGGGTGTTACCACTTTTTGGTCAATACGTCGATCGCTCTAGCCGCGTTTCGGGAAGAGTACGGTATCCCAACCGACGTACATCTCGAGCTCGGTGCTGAGGAAACAACCCCCTGGGGAAGACTTGAGTAATGCCCTTTCACCGTGCTCTCCATAATAGAAGGCGGCTTCCGCTTCCCGGTTAACCCCCTTATGTGCGAGTTCTTGCGACGCACCGGGCTAGCCCCAACCCAAGTCTCAACCAACACTTACAGGATAATTAACGGGATCCACGAACTAAACAACCGGCTAGGAACCAACTTAGGATTAGCCGAGATACTCCGCCAATATACCCTCGGGCATACAGGCGACGGCCTTGCCTATTACTTAAAGATCAGACCGGGCAAGGAGAAGATAGTGACCGGCACCCCGGACAAAGATATGCACGATGACGACTTTTTCTGAGTGTCCGGTAATTATGAAACGGCCGACGTACCGGGCTGGTACATAAGCAAAAACTTCGGTGAAACATGTAAGCCGTGCCAACTGCTCAGTCGAATTTCTTCCTTTCTAGATTTTGTACTTAGTATCTTTTCTTCTTTTGCAGCAATTGAGGCTTTGCAAGCCAATTACCATTATCCCAACGAAGCAGGCATCAGAACCGTGCTGCGGTACCGAAACTGAGATTGCCACGAACTTCTCGGCTACGTACCGACCTACCGATACTCCGCTCCACGCCGGAGTAGAGTGACAAACTTTCTTCGAGCGCCGTCGCCACCTCCTGATCCCACATTACCCGACGTGCCCCTCATCCGGCTGACCGAGGCAGAGGAGATGGCCAAATGAAGCCGCATCAAAAATCCCATCACTGCCACATCCACCGAGCATCCCGTATCGCACTTCAAGAGCTGGGCAAACATCTGACGCCGTCATTGCCTTTCTCGGCTAAGTAGACCTCGGGGATAGGCCTCGGCCGAGCAAGTCCAAATCCGAGGAAGCTCGGTCCAAACATGGGACCTGGACCTCAGACCTAGGCTTGGACCAAGCAAGATCATCTCAAAGGAAGCCCCAGTTAGCTCGGCCTAAACAGGGGCGAGCCTCGACCGAGCAAATCCCACTCTGACCAAGCCCAAGTTAGCTCGGACCAAACATGCTCGGCCATCTTCTGTCCGGCTCCTTCCACGGCCCAAAGCCAGATTATAAATCTCCCTCTCAATTGCCCCTTAATTCCGTCCGCGCAAGCGTGACTGGGATTACATGATCCGACCGAGGTAGATTCTCCCTCGGTTCTTAGTTCCCAAGACGTTAACCGCGCTAATCCCCATGCTTGGTTTCTTGGCTTGCTCGGTTGACGCCTCAACTTGCCATCTTGTCTCTTCAGTACTGACGCCGCCGCCATTATGAACACGCGTTTTCTGTAACGCTCTCAAAATAATACATAATTCCCATATCCAATCTTTCCATAAACATGATAGATAGTTTACATTGCCATACAAACATCAGAGTTAATATTACAAAAGTGTATTTCATATTAATTACAAATGTTCACAAAAATAATAGAATGCCTTGCAGGCTTACATCTTTCCAAGTTGCTACTTGGTTAATCAAAAGAAAAGTTCTAACTCTCTTACAGGTAAAGCCCTCGGCTTGCATTTACATATAATTAACAAAATAAATAATAAAGTAGAGTCTTCAACTCCGAAGACCTCCCAAGTAAAGATCTTAAACTTGGCATGTCTCCTGTACCTGAAAATGGTGCTCCAAGTAGGGTGAGCCAAAGCCCAGTAAAAATGTACTAAACCCAATATGAGATATAACTAAAACATTATCACACAACAAATGATCGACACATATAAACATTATCATACAACAAATGATCGACACGTATACACCAAATCACACCCTTCTCATAGCCCGACAACAATTTCATCCATGCTACCATCCACTTCCCTTATTTGTCCAGATCAGTTCCTAATTATGGTTCAATATCTAACCAAACAATTTAAGTGAGACTACCACTCGAC